AGAGAGAGAGAGAGAGAGAGAGAGAGAGAGAGAGAGAGAGAGAGAGAAAGAGCACAGCTCATTAGCCACCCTTTGATAACAATGCCGCAGATAGATAAGGTCGATGCGATTGCACTGAAGAGAAAGAGAGTACTCTAATTGGTGGTGGTTGCACCCAGCAGTGATGTGCTCCTGCCACTGCCACTGCTAGCGGTCCTGCTGGTGGTGATGAATGTGATGGCAGAGAGAGTGGAGGCATAGCCTTTTTGAACATCTGCTAGAAGCAGCATCCATCCTTGATCCCCGCTGGAACCAGAAAGAGGAGTATGATGGCCAGGTTGCGCAGAGTGTACCGCCAGTCGTTGGTGATCAGGTACTGCACAAACTTGTTCGTTATTTGGTGAATCTCATGCGACACGCAGACAAAGATGAAGGAGGTGATAACGACGTTCAGCACTGGATAGCCAGGCACGAGGACTAGAATTCCGTGAGTGTCGGCGGCTAGCCAGATGTGGTACTGGCAGATGAACAGCTGTGGTGGTGCAGTCGTTGTACAGTGGTGCAAAGTACGGCAAAGAAAAAAAGCGTATGAGCATTGAGGTGGAGGCTTGTCAAAGTTCACTGATTTTGATATTTCCCAGTGCGCAGCCACTGTCAGTGTGAGTAAAGGAAAAAGCAACCACTTACCTCGAGTGAGATCTTTCCAAACCAGGCAAAGAGCAGACTAAAGCGAGATCGAAGTAGATTGGATATGTTCCGCAACAGTATAAACGAAATAATCTGTAAATGTCAATTGAGGCATGTCAGTGGGGTAGTGCTCGTATATCAAAAGCAATGAGGCAAGGAGGCCATTCATACCGGCACAAAGGAAATGTACGGGTGGATTTCATTGCAATCGGCCTTGTCGCGACAGAGGAAGCTAAAGCCAATGTAGAACTGCAGTCAATGGGAGAGAGTGTAAAACAAACATTACTCATTTACAGACAGGCGGCAACCAGTGGCAGTTGATGGTAGACTTACAATTAAACCGATAATGGACAGTAAAACGGAGAGAATGGAGATGCCAGGCGTAAACAGATACGAGTACTCAGAGTCGTGAATGAGGTGGTACTTCTTCAGTGTACTGTAACTAAATGCAAAGACCATGCCACAGGGAACGCTCTGTAAGCCATTTTGTTGGAAAAAAGTTAAGCTCTATATAATAGTAAAAACAATTTACGCAACTTACATAGCGATCAATTTTCCATCTAAACCACCATTCTTGGATGGAGTCGTCTGTGGTGACAAACAGCGCCTTCCACGGCCTTATCAGGAAGATGTTTTCAAAGAACACTTCGGAAGTGTAGAGAACTGTGACAACGCCAAAAAGTGTTATCAACTTGAGTATAATGTAAAAGTAGTGTGATGAGTTGGCTGTAAAAAAATAACGGAATCATTAGATGAGCTACGTTAAAAAGATGCTCCCTAAATGAACAAACCATCCGCAGATTCTGAAGTCACGTGTGGAATTATCTTAAAGGTGACAAACATTATCACAAACCAAAAGGTAATCAGCGGCACAAAATAGTAAAACTGGTAAGGTCGATTCATGCACAGACACAGGCAAATGGTGAGAAAGTTTAATCGAAATATAATCTGCAAAAAACGAAGGTTAGCAATCAACTTGAGTTATTCAAAATCCGAGGCAAAGTGCATACTTTAGCAAATCTGTTGAAGCTCACTTCTCCACCATTCCAAAAGTAAGTAAAATGGCTGAAACCACTTAGAAAGAGAAACAACGACACCAACAGGCGAATGAACATGTAGATGGGCAGTATTTGAGAAGCTCCGGTGTAGTGATATGCTGTACAAAACTGAAATGTTACCAAACCAGAGCGACTACCAAGAATGACACTTACCCAAGATGACCAGCTGCATCCACCCTTTCATTTCATTGGTCTGATCTCGATGCAAGACGTTATTAGTTGCCGATTCGTCCGTGAAGAACAGACCCAATGCAAAGACATAAGCTATGGGCAGAAAGAAGTTGGGCCGAGTGAAGTACTTATTTTCCTTCATGAAGTAGTTGGTTCGATCGCAGAGGTAAAAGTAAAACATTACCACCCCGAGACGAGAGAGCAGAATTATCAGGTCCTTCTTGGAAAGGCCCTGTTCGAGATCAGCCAGACGTTCCTTTGATGATGACAGAGTTTCAAATTGAACTATTTCATCATCGTTAGCATCCCCATTTTCGTCAATTAAGTTAGCATTGGCATCGCTTTGCTCCACCAATTCAATGTCATCTTCAACTTTAGAGTGAAGCTTTGTCCACTTGTAGCTTCGGTATGTGCTTCGAGTCTTTCTGAAAACTCTGTTGTAGAAGTATATGGAAATACTGATGCCCATAAAGAGGGAAAATACGGACAAGAAAATCAGCTGAATAATGGTCGACTTTTCAGGATCACTACAACAGGTGCCATCATTGTAGTTCATGTGGTCATTACAGTAGAGATTCCATAATATTTGAATGGATAACCTGAGAGCGTTTGCACTGACGTGAAGTCCGTCGTTATTTTCATCCTCGCGGATCATATCTTTGAAGCCCTGTGCGACCAGACGAGCAGAGCTCCAGACGTAGACCGAGTCTGTGGTAGAGTGGTGCAGAACTTCAATGGCCACTTTGTTGTAGGCGTCAATCTGTTCGTTAGTGATCATTTCTCGGTCTTTTCGAAGGAGATCATGCTTGATTGGGTCTTGGAGGGCCCACAGAATTTTAGTGGTTTGGTTCAGGGCATCCATGTACGGCAGAAGAATTGTGAGATTGTGTCGATAATACTCGAGAGCTTGCAGGCTTGCATTGCTCTGCTTGATACTGTGTGTGGCACTGCCGGCGATAATAATGTTCGGCCGTTCATCCAGACTCTGTTTATTCCATCGTTTGAACTGGTCAATCATTGATCGATTGACCACGGGAAGCCAGAGGAACTTGACCTTCATATTGGACTCCTTCTCGAAGTACTCCAAATCGTGATGAGCCGACTGGTTATCCTCTTTACTTTCGTCATTCAGTGACAGCGACTGTATGAACTCAAAGTACAGCTGCCTAACGCGGGAGTCACCCAAAAAGACGATGGAGTTGCGACCTCCCCAGTAGTCGATGTACCGTATGCACATTCTTGCATCCCTGTTAGTTGAATAGTTATTTTAAACACTTTAAATTTAACTTCAGCAAAGGTACATACAGTTTGGAGTAAGTGTGCAACATGCAGCCATACGGCTGCCAGACACGATAGCTCCCAAAACCGTGGAAACTTCCATCACTAAGCAACCACTTGCAAGATTTTCCGCCTTGAACTAGCGAATTTCAGGCAACATGTAAACAAAAACAAATTCGAATTTAGTCATCTTGACAACCGGGGTGGAGCAACAACTCACCTGATATAAAAAAGTGCAAAAAACCATGGTAGCCAATGAGGAAAAGGGTGAGGAAGAAGGCGATGTTCTTGATGTTATTGGCCGACAGTTTGCGCGTGATCCAGTGGTCACTGAAGCTAGAGTTCAGTATTTCCGACTTCATGGTGTTCAGGTGCTTTCATACTTGACAGCTGCCAGGCTGCCAGCCGCTCTGGTTTGTGGGTGTGACGATTGCCAGCTGCCACTAAGAAGACCGATCGGCGGTGACGGGTGACGGGCGGCTTCAATCACCGATGCGTCTGTTTATGCTAAATCTTACTCGCCCGAACACATGTGACAGCGCCACCATGCGCAGACGCTTTTATCGCGCAGTGGGAGATGAAACATTCAGCGAATTCAGGACAAATTCTAACCAAATAACAGAGCAAACCTGGAACACTTATTTGTATTCCTTCAGTAGGCCTCATTAATGCGGCAATTTAGATTTTAGTTTTTACATTTTTATTTATTATTAAATGTACAGGAACTACTTATGCTTCATTTTTTGAAGATTCTTTGTAAAATAAAACTAAGAACGTAGAGCATAACCGAAATTGTTCTCACAGAATAAGAGTTAGTTTAAACCGCAAAATCAAGCGGCTATGTGCATATTTTATTTATAATAATAATAATAATTAAGGACTTAAAAATTTCCAATTAACGGGACTACATATTTGCAGAAGTTTACGTCCACGTTCTACTTGTTTTCATACAGATGCTTGATGTCCTTCCACTGTTTCTGTAATGCAAAGCAAAACAATGAGTTAGAGTTGACTTTAGCATAAACCAAGTCCACAAAAGAACACTTACTCCTTTGTTGGCGTTGTCGAAGACGTAATCGGCGATCTCGGCACAGCTGCGCTCAAGAAAGAACGCGCCCACGATCACGCCCAAGACAGAGGTGGAGGCTCGAGAGAAGACGCCTCGGTAGAGAAATTTACCAACGGCGTTGACGACCATGGTGCTGGGGTTCTTCGGAACTGGACCAGAGATGGATCAAAACAAGCGAACTCGCAGAAGATTGACCAAAACAGCTGAAAACTCACAATAAACTGGCACGACTGGCGATCGCAGCGATGATGCGGTGACTTTGTACAGTAAGATTTTGTACGAAAATAGAAACAAGTGTCGCCTCCTAGTGACACGGTAGTGAAATAAAGCGTTGGAAAGACTATCAGAAAACACTGTCATTTTTTAGCGCTCTTTGATTGAGAGGTGGCGCTTCGCGCCTGTTTGGCGAGACCTATTTGCGAAAGTCGGCGCGACATTGCCGGGAAGTAAATGCCAACTTGCAGGGAATAGTTTCGCACTGGCGCTAAAGTACAAACTGTTGATTGATGACGGTTTTAATTAAATCAAAGATGATTCGTTCAGTTCAGAAATAGGTAACGAAAAGTAACAAATAAACATGGTCAACAGTAAAATGATAACAAATAATTTGATGACGATCCAATGGTAAACTAACGGTCGAGTGATTATTTCTGGTCGTCAGGTGGGCTAAAATTGCAGTGTTTTGCGGAAGCTTCAAAGTTAATAAGTTAAAAGCATCACCGGTTTTTATCACAGATTTTGTTTGTTAACAGGTCTAGGCTTAGGGGCCGACTTTGCCGAAGGGCTGAGCATCGTCGTCTCCTCATCACCGCTCTCGTCGTCAGTATCGTCTTCCTGAGTTGATTGCCGCAGTACTTTGTCTGCAGCTGGAGAATTGTTATTTGACACCACTTTTGGCGGTTCTTCAACCTTGGGGTTTTCCTGATTTTCCTCTTCTGGTTTTTGTTGTTCTCCATCACCAGCTTCATCGTTATTTGGCTTCTTTTCTACATCTTCAGACTCTTCCTTTTCTACTTTATTTATTCTTACTCCGAGTTTCTCCAGAATCAAGTCAATTTTTTGCGCATAGTCCATATGCCCCTTGATCTACAGCAAAATTGATAAGTAAAACGGCAGAAAATTAATTCAACAAACTTACTATATCTGAAAGGTCGTGATTTTCAAGTTTTCGGTTTTCAAGTGCAACGGGCTGCAGGCCGCCAATTCTCATGGTGGCAGTTGAAGTTCGGTATAAAAATTTAAGAAGCCAATCATCTTGACAGTAACCGTTGATAAGCTTTCCACTGACGATAGGAAGTATTTTGGCCCATCTTTCCGGTGCAGCTGACACGGGCGCTCCCAGCAGTACGGCATTCTCAATGATTCCCTCGGAGTCTTTACGAGTGGCCAGCTCTTCCAGGCAAAAGAAGATGACTCGAGCACCTAAGCTGNAGGAAGTATTTTGGCCCATCTTTCCGGTGCAGCTGACACGGGCGCTCCCAACAGTACGGCATTCTCAATGATTCCCTCAGAGTCTTTACGAGTGGCCAGCTCTTCCAGGCAGAAGAAGATGACTCGAGCACCTAAGCTAAAGCCAATAAGCGAGACGGGTCGTTGGCCTTGCTGGCGAGAAATGAGAATGTCCGCTAGGTATTTGCCCACTTCGGCTGAGCGCCTATTTGTAAGAGCCGTTGAGTTATTTGGTGTTGGAAGATTACAAAACATCACTGCTTACCGAATGCAAACTCCCCAAGGATTATCAATCACACTGGAGACGGTGAGTAAAGTGGTCGGCCAGGCAATTGCAGCCACCAGACCAGCAAGCAGCGTGTACTTCAGCGCTTCCTGGGCTGCCATTGAGATGGCAAAGCCGAGGAAGTAGTCGATTGCCCGACCCAACTCCAGCAGATAAGATGACTCATAGCGAATGCAATACTGTTCTTGACTGTTGGCCAGGTTCTTCCAGGGCTTCTGAAATGCGTCTTCGGTGTTCTCTGAAATCCAGCCCGATATGGCAATGGTGAGGTGCAAGGAGCGGCCAGTGGTGATTTGCTCGAAATCGAACTCCTCAATGTTGCCGACACGTTTGTTCATCTTGAAGCCAGTCAGTCCGGCGCCGGCGACGCCAAACAGTGAGCCGATGATGGCCACTCCAGCAGGAGTGCCCAGAATGGCAGCTCCACTTGTGAGGGCAGTGGCTCCAGCGGCGATCAGCGGGGCTGAGAGTCCACCAGTAAGACCTACCGAACAGAATGTGTTGTAGAATTTGCAAAATTACTTGACAAAAAGGCACTCACCAAGAATAACGCCGCCGCCAACACTGGCCAAGGCAATCAGTGTGTATCGTTTGATTTTCTTGCCCAAGTTGCGCCTCCGCACCTCTTCATCATCTTCCGAGTTGGTTTCATTAGAGAGCATCTCCACCAGTGCCTGTTCGTATGATTCAACCAACTCTAGGGGAACATCCATGAAGATTGCTAGTTTGCAGATAACAACGCGCAGCCGTGCGTCATAGACGCCGTCTTTCACGCCGAAAATGACCAAATCCTGGACGATCCTGCTCGGTTCGACTGACTTTTTGTCCATTTCCTTGTGAATTAACCTGATGAATGAGTTCAAGTCACCTCCGTCTCCATTCAGAATCGCCTTCATAGCTTCCACCACCTTTGAAGGCAATTTGTAGTATGCAACCAAGCCGGCAATGTTCTTCTCGATATAGGCTCTGAAACATAATCAGATTAGATCGAATAATCGCCAGCTAAAGGACTCACTTATGCCGATCTTCGGGAAGGTGCTTTGCAAAGAGCAGGGAGCATAGCCCGCAGAGTGAATATGAGCCTGCATCGCCGAGCTCTTCAATAATGCAACTGGTGCTGGAAACCTTGGCTGCCTTTTCGTTGCCGTCCTTTCCGGCGTTGCTTTTGTCTATGTCGCAGCTGTCCATGACGTCGTCGACGCTACCAGGCATCAACTGAAGTAAGGCAGACAGGCTAAGCAGGCGACACTTGGTGGACGGTGTTGTTGTTGTGTCTGACTGAAGAACACATGGATGCTTGATGGGAAGAGGCTGAAGAAAGAAGAGCCACACACTCTCCTCTCCTAGTGGAGTTGCATCAGCGGAGTGGGGAAGTGACGGGAAGGGAAGGGAAGAAGAGGCCAGCCGAGAGGAGAGTATCACCCCGTTACTTGGCAGGCGACATCGACGATATTGCACAGCTAAGATGACTGTACAGTGTGAGTCAGTGGCGCAGTTGTGCCAGTGTCAGGTAAGTGTCTAATCACAGGTGCTCTCTCACTATCAACAAGTGCAGTGAAGGGAGCGAGAGAGCAGGAGTAAAGGTATCATTTTCTCTTTGCGGCAACACTTTTTGCAGCCAAGCAATTCTATGCGCCATCCAGCGCCGCTGCTGTCACATGGTCGCCTGCCGGCCAAACCAAAACATTGCGCTTTTTTCCGCTGAATTTCTCTTGCGCTCATCATGCTGCGAGTACTCTGTTCCAGTCTTTTTCAGCGTTCACCCCCACTCACCAGGTGCTTCCACCAGGTGCCATGTCGTCGTTTGGCGACTAAAAAGTATGATCCACTCTTGGTGGAGCAGATACGAAAGAAGCTCGACGATGAAAAGACGTTTGAAGTAAGGTGCTTCTTCTGCATGATGCTAGTTTTTCCTAACTACTACTTTGCAGAATTTCTACGTGGATGATTTTGCAGATATTTATGCAAATGATCAGTCAAAGAAGGCAAAGATTGAGAAGATCATCTACATGTACGACAATATGAAGTACAACTTGGAAAATGTGCCCACGACTTTGTCTAAGGGCGATATGAATAGGCTACTTGAAATGGAAAGCAGTTCTGACATTAAACGATTGCTAAACAAGATGCAAAGTAAAGAGCTTGAGTATTTGATTCGAAAGGAACTCAAGAAAACAGCACAAGCAGAAAAGAGCAAAGAAGACGATACTAGTTTCGAACGTTCAGGTCTATTTGGCGCGGATGGGGATTTAAAATATGGTTAGCACGTTTTCATTTTTAAAAAATTTTTCATCTAACGCTTTGCTTTTTCAGGTCTTTGGCACAATACACTATTTACGCGAATTCCCCGAAACTACCGAAGCCGATTCAGCCTCACCAGGCATCAGAGTGTTGAGTTGTTTGGCCAAAACTTAATTCTCGATTTGTCATTCTCCAAACATCTCAACTACCATCTTAGTTCTCACGTTGCGAATGATTTGGGAAACATGCTCAGTTTTAACCGTCACAGCCTGCAAGATCCCTTCAAAATTTCACTATGTGGAGTAGACTATGAGCACCCTTTATGGAAGGCGCTGTACAAATCATTTAACAGTACCCTTGACTTTATCCATCACACTGAGAGGTCCTACTTGGACCTGTGTTCAGAACGATCAAACCTGGTGTATATTACCAGTTTAGAGAAAAAGTTTTCTCTAGAATATGATCCGAATGCGATNACACTGAGAGCTCCTACTTGGACCTGTGTTCAGAACGATCAAACCTGGTGTATATTACAAGTTTAGAGAAAAAGTTTTCTCTGGAATATGATCCGAATGCGACCTACATTATGGCAGCTGTATCTGAAAAAGACATGCAAACTGACTTTATCACACCAAAGTTGAAGAAGCTCAACATTAAGCGTCAAGGAATTCCAATAGACAAGCATATTTTATGGAATCAAGGCTCAAAAAGGCTGAATCTGAATACCAAACTGAAAATACTAAACGATATTCGCAGCAACAAGGAATGGAAAGAAATACTGTTGGAGTATCTTCATCCAGATAATATAAAAACAAAAGAACAGATTATGAGTGAAGACATATATCGATCCAGGGTGACGAAGCACCAGGAGAAGAAGCACAAAAATAAGAAAAATCGAATCCAAAGTCCAAAAAGTCATTAAAATCCTTTTTCAAATTAGTTTTATCGCAAGGTGCCGCTGCAGTAGTCTTGTTTACGTTTTCTTNAGTGAAGACATATATCGATCCAGGGTGACGAAGCACCAGGAGAAGAAGCATAAAAATAAGAAAAATCGAATCCAAAGTCCAAAAAGTCATTTAAATCCTTTTTCAAATTAGTTTTATCGCAAGGTGCCGCTGCAGTAGTCTTGTTTACGTTTTCTCAACTCCAACATGTACTTTCACGCTCCTGCCTCTTTGGGGACATTTGGATTCACCAGTTTATCAGCGAAGGTTAGCACTTATCATCACTTATAAACGTGCACAAAGTTTAGTCAAGGTGATGAAATGCGCCTACTATGCACATCAGGAGATTTGTTCGCCTTCCAATCTTGCCAATAAAAGTGCACCGCTGGCGAGAATGCACACCGCTGCTCACCGGTGCGTTCACTTTCCGTCAGCATCGTCCACCTTTCTCTCACCTTTCCACTCTCCGTCTGCTTAATCAGATCAGACCATTGTTTGGGAGAGAGCGTCACCTCGAGACAGCAATCGGGCGAATGATGGCCACCTCCAGTGCTCAACCCAGTGCCTTTCTCACGCGCAAAGCGTCGCCCAATATTCTGGTGCTCTTTCTTGGAACATCAAACATATCCAAAGATGAGGAGCAAATACTGCTCGAAAGGATGAACAAGTCCATTGAAGCCATTTACGGTATAGATCGCTTCATTCTGTACCGCATCCAAGAGGCCGATCTGGCGATTGACTCCAAACTCTTCTCCGCGTCAGCCTTGGTAGTGGTGACGAGGCCACGAGCCGGTGCATCCGCCGGCAAGGTGGCCACCTATCGCAGCAATATTCCACAAGTGACCGTCGACTTGAATCTGCTCACAGCCAATGACCAATTCAACTGGCAGTACTTTGAAAGTCAAATGAAATCATGCATTCCGGAAACTACCTCTCCCTCATCCAATCAAACAGACCAAGTCAGCAGCCAATGTAGTGCAATATTCCTCTTTACCTCAGACGCCAGCTATGAAAAGTGGCTGCAGATTACTCGCGTCAAAGGAGTCGACCTGACGGAGTACTGTGAAGATGTAGAGCTAACTGACGTTGCATCTGAGAACAAAGTTATCTTTGTTGACTGTCGTCAAAATGTTAATCGCACCAAATTGCCTTTCAACTTCAGTGCCTCGCTGTACTTTGAACAATTGAAGACTACCTACCTCGGACGAACAGTGCTCATGGCCGACCGATTTACCTCTACGATGGACTTGGCGGATCGATTCCGGAACGTCAACGGCCTCGTTGCCATCGCCAATTACCAGACGGCAGGAGTTGGCCGACAGAACAACAAGTGGCTGTCGCCGCATGGCTGTGCAATGTTCACCACTAATTTGCAGTTAAACTCAGGCAGTGGCTGCTTCTCGCGAATGTCGCTCATTCAACACTTGGTCTCACTGTCTGTCGTTCTGGCATTACCGCCGCAGCTGAACATTAAAATCAAGTGGCCCAATGACATTCTCTTTGTCGACTCGATGTCCAAGCTGGCGGGCATCCTCGTGCGATCTTTCCTGTTTGGAAGCACCGTTAACGTGCAGATTGGCATCGGATTCAACCTTTCGAATGGTCACCCGAGCGTCTGCTTCGACGACATCATTCAGCAGTACAACAGCAGTCAACTTGAAGGATCACCAAAGCTGGAGCGAATTACCAAAGAGACGCTGATTGCCCGCATCCTCAATCAGTTTGAGCTGCTGCTGGCCATGCTGGAGGAGGGCAGAGTGTCGGAGATCAAGCAGCTGTACCTCTCCAGTTGGATTCACTCCAACATGGACATTGAGGTGCACGACAACAAGGACGGCAGCAAGCGAGCGGCGGTCATCTGCGGCATCGACGATAGCGGCTACCTGCTCGCAGAGTACTCGGCCACCGGCGAGAAGATATCACTGCAGCCTGATGGCAATCGCTTTGACCTAATGCACCGCCTGGTTGTCCTCAACTGTTGATGATCAGGATCGACACAATGATGTTACGTAATAATAAAAGATGATGCACATTGTGCCACCTCCCTCTCTTTCTGCTGTGGTCAATGGTTTAATTAAAAAAATGAGCAGTTTACACAGTAACTCGAGATACAGAGTACTTGGTAGTGGTGGTGAGAAGAAGGCAGCTGTACGAAAGAAACGCTGTAGTCGTCTGACGAGTCTCATATCAGGAGATTTTTTCCTTTCAGTTCGGCCTCTAACACTGTGGTGATGATGATGCCACCGATTACGTACTGTGATCTCCCCTGAGGCTCACTCTCGAAGTGCTTTCTCTAATCTCATACTGATAGACAAAACTGCTGCCGCTGTCGATGAAGGTCGCGTTCTGTTCACTCACTCAAAGAGATTGTCCTGCTGTTGTGGAGTGTTAGTGTGAAGAAAGCCTCGTGAGAAAAGACTACTTGTGAGCATCATCACCCATTGTGGACACATCCGTCTCTTCAGGCCATACTGACCAGCCAGTTGACCAGCGGCTCACACACCATGCACGCCTCATTGAGAAGGTTTTCCCAGCACGTACTGGGTGCTGTGGCAAAGCAGAGAGGCATCACCTCCAGCTCCCAATCTTCTCGATGCCTGTCACACTTTGCCTTTCAGCCGGACACACCTGCCGTCTCCGATGGGGATACCACCCGAATGAACCTTTTCCAGGCGGTGAACAATGCCCTGGAGATTTCACTGGCCACTGATCCAACGACGGTGGTCTTCGGCGAGGATGTCGCCTTCGGCGGCGTCTTCAGGTGCACCGTCAATCTGCAGGACAAGTTTGGCAAGGACCGCGTCTTCAACACTCCTCTCTGCGAGCAGGGCATCGCCGGCTTTGGCATCGGTCTGGCCACTGCCGGGGCCACTGCCATTGCGGAGATTCAGTTTGCCGACTACATCTTCCCTGCATTCGACCAGCTGGTGAATGAAGCCGCCAAGTTTCGCTATCGATCAGGCAGTCAGTTCGACTGCGGTGGCCTGACCATTCGTGCCCCTTGCGGCGCCGTCGGTCATGGTGCCTTGTACCACTCGCAAAGTGTCGAGTCCTTCTTTGCGCACTGCCCCGGCCTGAAGATCGTCATTCCGCGAGGGCCGATTCAGGCGAAGGGACTTCTGCTGAGCTGCATCCGAGACAGGAATCCCTGCATCTTCTTTGAGCCCAAAATTCTCTACCGTCTGGCGGTGGAGCAGGTGCCGGTAAAGGACTACATGATTCCACTCTCCAAGGCGGAAATACTCACCGAGGGCGACGACTGCACGCTGATCGCCTGGGGAACTCAGGTGCATGTGATGCAGGAGGTGGCACAGATGGCGCGAGACACACTTAACACCTCCTGTGAGGTTATTGACCTGGTGACCATTGCCCCCTGGGACAGGGAGACCCTCATCAACTCGGTGAAGAAGACGGGACGGGCCTTGATTGCACATGAAGCGCCCATAACAGGAGGATTCGGTGCGGAGATAGCCGCCACTCTGCAGAAAGAGTGCTTCCTTCACCTCGAAGCGCCCATCATAAGAGTTCGTATTCTTTTTCAACCTGCTAGACCAGTAAACTTATCTTCTCTGTTCATGTGTTTCAGGTGGCAGGCTACGACACACCCTTTCCGCACGTCTTTGAGCCATTTTACCTGCCCGACAAGTGGAAGTGCCTGGACGCCATCAAGAAGCTTATCAACTACTAGTCATCATTCCTCAGTTGGCCAATTTCAGTTTTCAGTTTTCTTCCGTGAGGAAAAACGACTAATCATAGTTTCTGGCGTGAACTGGGGCGCACTGAGAAAGTCCTCTTCTCCGCCGATGTGAGTCTCCTCTCCGCATAGCCATCGTTTGTCCTGCCAGTTTGCAAAGAAAATGTACAGAGAATGTATTGAAGTGACAGTAATAAAAAGGTTTCACTACTGACTTGAACCATCTTCGGCACAATGGCAGATAACCAGATGCCCATTGAGACGTCCTCCCCTTGATAATGGTGCAGATAGTCGCCATTCAAGTTGAGCCACTGAACGAGGTCTCTGGTCAGGATGTACCCTGAACCACATGCAAAGTGCGGATAAACTGGCGAAGTGTAGGCATCATCCGCCCATTTCCCGTAGTAATTAACGGCCCACTTTTTACGAAAACTAACAAAAACATCAATTAGAGTGGCATCTTAAAGCCGTAATAAACTTACTAACTTACTTTCCAAACCAAGTAGACTTATTTCGGTAATAGCGAAGCAACATTTCGATGACAAACCATACATTGACGTAACAATCGTCGTCGGTTTTTAAAAGATGGGTAAAACTGGGATGGCTTTTTAGAAACTTATCAAAATAAAGCAGCAATTTTTGTGGCAGCCTACGATAAACATCGACCATTGGCACAAATGTGATATCTTGGTGTAACTTTTCTTCTTTTTTCAGTTGATAATTGATGTTTTGCTGTTTAACAAACCATGTTTGATTGAATTGAGGATGAATATTTACTGAATCTAAGTTTGAAAAATTAATTTTTGCTACTGAAAATTAACAAACTTCACTTTACCTTTAGTTTCAAATTGTAAATTAACAGGAAACAAGTCTTTGGTGCTGAATGCTTTCGAGTCATAGTCATAAGTTCCGTGATAAGACTAAGGCAATAAAATTAAATATCATAACAAGCAGCGCAAATTTAACTAACCCGAAGGATTTTCAAAATAGCACCCCATGGTCCTAAATTCAGTTGAAACGAATCGTTGATGTATGTGTTTTTTTCAGTCTCAATTTGAATCACAAATGTAGATTCGCTGTCGAGATCAATTTGAAAAGCGACATAATAAAAGTGTTCGTCTCGTGAGGAGCTTATTTCATCTCTGTCAACGACGGTTGTAAGTATCTTTTCCTAACAATGAAATTGTTAACGAAATTCCCAATAAAGCACTAGGACACTTACTTTTGTGAAAGCATTTAATAAAACAACTGAAACTTTTCCAGCTTGATCAAGTAACGAAAACAGCACACCAACTTTCCGCAATGTTATTGGTGAGAATGTCTGCAACTTGAAAGTTAGTAGCTGTCAAACAATAGAATACAGAACATACTTTAAAGCTGAACCCATTATGAACAAGTCTGTGTTCATACCGACTTGAAGAAGGCTTAGTGTTTAAATCAAATAAGACATTGAGTTCACTTTTATTTTGAGGATGATTAAGTTTTGGCACACAATCATAAAGATCTTCTCGGTTCAACGGATGAACGAGACATGGACTATTTCCAAGCACAAATTTTACATTGATTCTAAAAGGCCAATCGTATTGTGAAGAAAGCTGGTTGGCTAAAAAAACCTCTTGAAGCCAAGTGTCTCGAATCGCCTGTCGCTTGTCAAAGTTTTGCCGGGCTGAGAGGACGGCAATGTCCAGCACAAAGAGGGAGGTAGTCTTCGGGTAGGCATGCTGCCGCAGATGAAGTAGTCGGTCAGTGTTGAGGACAATCATTAGCAGGGCAATTTGGTACAGGTAACATTTTGGCGGCGACATTGATTCTAGGCGAAGTTTTGAACTGACGCATTGTTATCAAAAGAGTTCATCAATGTTTACAAAAAACAGCTGCTGCAGCTTTTGCCGCCGCATTCGCAGTGCATTACGTCAGTTTCAGCAGCTGCGCACTGGCCACCGGCGCTAGCCAATCAAAAGCAAAAAGCCGTTTGTAAAGAGAAGCGCACAGTCTGGGCCACCTGCACTTCAACCGACGACCGTTTTACTTTCGCTTGTGGTGTTTTAACTTTTCTTTCATCGCTCACCTCTTCATTTCTCATCGGTCCCTCGCCACACCAACAGCATGGACGACTATCAAAAGATTGAAAAGATTGGCGAGGGTATGTACAGGATTCTCGTGCATTCGGCCCAACGATTCTACATTCGTTCTGCTTACTGATCCACTTTTCTGGCTCTTTCAAAACACAGGTACTTACGGCGTGGTGCACAAGGCTCGTCATAAGCTGACCCAAGAGCTGGTGGCTATGAAGAAGATTCGCCTTGAGAATGAAGACGAAGGTGTTCCCTCTACTGCCATTCGCGAGATCACTATTCTCAAGGAGCTGAATCATCCAAACATCGTTTGGTGAGACGATGTTTGTTTATCAATGATGACCGGTGTGACTAATGTTTGTTATTTTCAGTCTTAAAGATGTGCTCTTGCAAGAGAATCGACTTCACCTGGTGTTTGAATTTCTTTCCATGGATCTCAAGAAGTATCTGGACTCTATTCCCAGCAACCAGACAATGGACAAAGAGCTTGTTCAGGTACTGTTTACATTTACCTCTGTTATGTTTAAAGGTCTAAGTTTTTGTTTTGCAGAGCTACATGAAGCAGCTTCTCGATGCCATTGTCTTCTGCCATTCTCGTCGCATAATTCATCGCGATTTAAAGCCCCAGAACTTGCTGATCGACAACAAAGGCACAATCAAAATAGCCGACTTTGGCCTGGCCCGTGCATTTGGAATTCCCATTCGCCCATACACACACGAGGTCGTTACTCTTTGGTATCGTGCTCCTGAAGTTTTACTGGGAAGCCAAAAGTACTCCACCCCAGTGGATATTTGGAGCATTGCTTGCATTTTTGCTGAAATGATCACTAAAGTGCCACTTTTCCATGGTGACTCAGAGATTGATCAGCTCTTTCGAATCTTTCGGTAATCNACCCCAGTGGATATTTGGAGCATTGCTTGCATTTTTGCTGAAATGATCACCAAAGTGCCACTTTTCCATGGTGACTCAGAGATTGATCAGCTCTTTCGAATCTTTCGGTAATCTAAAAACGTTGTTGAGCTATTGTCATTCTAACGACTTTTTGAATTCTCCAGCACTTTGGGCACTCCAATAGATGAACAGTGGCCGGGCGTTTCGTCACTCCCCGACTATAAGTGCAGCTTTCCCACCTGGAGAGACAACATTCTGCACACCGTTCTGCCCGGAGTGGAAGGCGAAGCTCTGGAGTTGATCAAGTCAATGCTCGTCTACGATCCTCAGAAGCGCATCTCTGCCAAAGGCGCACTGCTTCATCCCTACTTTTTTACTTAAACTGCCACCCAATATTATCTTTTCACTTATCATTGAAAGCTTTTAGCTTTTAGTAGTAGCAGGCACATCTCAAGAGGAACAACAGATGTTTTAATTTTATTATTTGTCTTTTAAAAAATTAATGGCTTTTATAACATGATAAATGGTTAAATATAACCCATCATAAATTACCATGTAACGGATTCAACGTATGATAGTGCAAGTGTGTGTGAGTGGTGTGTGTGTGTGCGTGTGTGTCTGTGGTTTGTTCTACTCGAAGAGTGGCTTCAGCACAAAGTGAACCAACTTTGCCCCACTTGACTTCTTTGCCTGATCCTCCTCCACGCGCACTGTCTTCGTCTGTGGGTTGTAGTTGGGCTTGGCGGCCATTACGTGGTACAGTCCGGGGGTCAACAGGCGCCAGTACTCTCCCTCAGAGGCTGGTGGTGGTGGGCGAAAAGGAAAAGGAAAAGATTAAGATTGATTGAAGACTGAATAAGAATGGACACGTACTTGTGGTAACGTCATGGTTGATGACTCGCCCAATGCCATCGGTGTAGTTCTGCACTCGAACGACAGCCCCGTCGATTGGATTGCCGAAGGTGTCGCGCACGATGCCCTTGATGCCGATGTGAGCCTGAAGGATGTGATGGATTAGTGAAGTGGACCGAAGAACAAAGTTCTCCTCTCGTACCTGTTTGATGAACTCTACCAGTGCCTCTTTGTTGTTCTCCCACTCCTCGCGCAGCTTGTTTGCCGGCGGAAACTTCTCGCAGCCCAGCTCCAGTGTGATCTCAAAGCTGTTGGAAGCCAGATAGTTGAAGTCCTGCATGCCACCGGCCACCGAGTACCAGGCGGCGCCGTTGGTGATGCCACCCTGTTTGGTGAAGTCCTCGTCATTGTCACACTTGGAGCCTTCTTTGGACATGGTTTTGTGCTTGTTTGCGTAGGTTCGTGCCAGGTGTCTGCATTGAATGAAAAGAATGATCAGGATTAGTATTGACAGCCAAAATTAGCCTCCACCAGGCTTACTTGAAGGTTTGGTCGTCGGGAGACGCAGTGTAGGTGTTGGTACTGCCGTCAGGGGTCTCATCGAAAGGATAGTTGGCCACCAGAGCGCCGCCATGGAGATTGGCAGAGAGGACAAAGGGGTTGCTGAGAATCCAAATGACCGCTGCCCGTGTTTCCGGCTGCATCTTGTGGCTGACCAGCGAGTTGATAAAGTCCTCCTTGCTGCCTCGGCGGAAGGCAATCACGTCCAGATCGGGAAAGTCGCGGTTAATGTCGACGCCATTCAGATTGGACCGTCCCATGAGCCAGTCCTTGCTCTTGTAGTTGCTGGCGGCAATGTCCCAGCCGTCAGGGTTGAGCGACGGCAGCAGGTGAATTCGAGTGCTGTTCAGCAGCTTCTGTATTTCCTGGTTGTTGTTCAGGTACTCCGTGCACAGGTAGTCCGCCAAACGGAGCAGCATCTCTCGACCGAGGACCTCATTGCCGTGCATGTTTGCCACGTACTTGAACTCCGGTTTCACTGTGCAAGAGAAACGATCAATGAAGCGATTTCTTTCTGAGATGTTCCTCATATTGAAACTTACGCAGTTGATGCTCGCCCGGGTTGGAAGACAGCTCGATGACGGTCAGTGGCCATCCGCTGACGCTCTTCTCACTTAGCTGGTACAGACGACTGATGGTGGGACACTTGGCGCTCACCTTCTGCAGGAAGACATTCAACTCGAGGTTGTTGTGGTGCTCGTACTCGTAGACACCCTGCGCCTCCTTTGCCGATATGCTCAAACAGCTGCTCGGAAATGGCTCCAGAAGAAGCTGGACCAGGACGAGGGACAAAGCGATCAACCAGCTGCTAGGACGATGATGATCCATGGTTCCCTAAGAAAGTACAAATGACGAACTGTTGGAACTGGTGGCAGACAGACGGAGAGACAGGGAGACAGGCGGCTAGAGCCTGTTACAAATGGCGATGGAGGAAACGGAGAGCACGGAGAGCGTCTTGAAATGTTCCAGCACGACTCGATGAGCTCGGCTCTCTCTCTCTTCCTATCTCTTTGTGTGTTGGCGTCAAGTGCCAAGCGGTATATAGCGCAGACTAGTGACGCAGGTGCCCGCTCTCTATGGCAACCAGCAGTATGTCTCTAGCCTCAACCAACATCCGTCCAATTATCGATTTTGCATTGGAGAGCAAGCTATTTTAGAGCTGGTGATGGCCGCCGCTTGCGCACTAGCACACCGACCATTGGCCGCTGCTTAGCGGTGGTCGTGTCTTTTTGCCTGTTCTCTAATCGAATATTCACGCAGCAGATTACTTTTTATTTACACACTTTTATACACTGGCAAGTTGCAACAAAGTTGGGCGAAATAAGAAAAGAACAAATTCATTACAGCGAGGGCTTGCCGTCGACGTCGTCGCCTCCACCACCTCCTGATGGCTTGCTGCCGCTGCTGGCAGTGCTATTCTGCTTGCTGTCCAGCGCAAATGCGGGTATCTTGCAGTCAAAGACGGTGCCGTCCTCTCGCTCCATCTTAAATATGCCCCTAAAGTTGAGCATTTCAAAGTTAGTTAAAATTGGGTTCACTTACACTACCGCCACCGCCACCACCACCACCACCACTACCACTTACCACATGTGACCGCTAGGATCCTGCAGACTAACATGGCTGCTGTACTGGAAGGCCGGATACGTCTTTGATAGAATCGGCTCCTAATTACATTCAAGTTAGACATGGCGTACCCAGGCACACACACAAACAGCGACTATATGCATTGTCAGTAATCACCATACGACGGTACTTACTTCTCCCACGACGCCGCGGCCTCTGATGGACTCAAGAATGCCCGGAATACTGTAAATTTGCCAGTGGCGTTCGCGTAATTGAACGGACGTCTCGCCCAAGTTTTCAATGCGAACACAGTATCGCCACTTGAGTTAATAGAGGAAAGAGGAAAAAGAAGAAGAGGAGAACGTTGAATGGGTAATTGACATTATAAAATGCAAATTAAGCCCATTGGCAACACTTGCATGCCCGTGCATGTAAGTGTAGGGTCACTTACCCAGTAGACGTTGTTGTTCTGCGAAAGACGGCAGCCCATATAAAAGGGAATAACCGTGACTCGAATGTTTTCAGTTGTCTCCCGGTGCACATCAGACAGCTCCAGCCAGGGATGATTCTTCTCCTGCCAGGCGAGCAAAGTCTCCCTGGGAGCAAAGGGAGGGTCTTTGTCTGGCTCGAATGTCAGAAACTTGTTAAACAGCTGGTGCTGGATCGGGGTGCTTTCCGTGCTGGTGTACGGAATGACATCCTCGTGAGCCACATAGTCGAGGCCTGGGATGGCGTACAAAGCTCGAGTGTTGTCTTGATTGCCGAGAAACGTCACTGCTTCAGTTTGAGCTTTCTGTGATAGAAAATAAAAAGACGTGACAATCTGCACGTAGTCACAGGGCAGCAGCAGCAGCAGACGACGACTTACCACGTAGGGGCAATCACGCTGGTCAATGAGCACCTGATAATAGGTGTGGGGCTGAGGAGTGACGCCATTCATTTTGAACTCATTGTGTTCATCACTGGACCTAGTAATCGATGAGTTCATAGTTTGAGGCATTCAAAAACAGGCGCCTACTTTTGAGTGGTCTGCTTCTTGCGAGCATCGCGGTCGTACACTTTAGCAGTCCAGGGGAAGAGAGTCACGCCACGGTAGCCAAAGACGCGATGCAAAAAGAATTGCCCAGTTTCATACTTTTCTTCAGACTTTAGGGCGACAAAGCGACCAATTTCACTGAGTCTACAAGTGGAAAAAGATTAGCTGAAAACCAAGTCAAAAGGCAAAGCCTACCTGTAGTTTTGATGACAAGCTCGCGAGGGAATGACATTGTAGCTAATCGAGGTCAACTTGCGTGCCACGCGACCAAGGAGGAACACCATTGCCAATCAAGGTCACCAAAAGAACTGGTCACTCAGATGAAATGACCGGCAACAAAAGTGCCCTACGATAACAACAAACAAAAGTCATGTGTTCCAAAAAATATTTTTAGAAAAGAAAAAAATTCAGTCAGTTAAAATAGTCACAAACCACGCGTTGAAATAGAATGAAATAGAAAAAAATAGACTGGCGCCATCGGGAGTAGTACCAGAAACACACAGTACCCGAATTCGGTTGCAGCAGTGGCAACAGCAGCAGCAGCATCAGTAACATCAGCAGCATCAGGAGAACAAGGCATCAGCGCATCAGCAGCACTCTCACTGACTGCACTCTCACTCCATAATGGCACGGTCATTTCGCAAATGGTCCATTTGAAAGTGACATTTGCGCGCGCCATTGCCGTCGCACGGTGCAGTGTCTGCAACTGACGGCGCCACTTGAGTGGCCATTGAGGCAGACCAAATTGATGCCATCAATCACGGGGCCCGCCGAGAGGCTCAACTTTCATCACCAGAGTCGTAAGGAACTTACAATTGCAATTGTATATAATTCGGTTGCCCACTGAAACGATCATTGCCATTGCAACTAATCATTCCCAATACGGTTTGCACAATTGCACCCAGTTTGCCTGCCGGTAAGTGTGTGTTTGGTGGTGGTAATAGAAGACCTCACCAGCCGAGGTGGCTGCCCGGTTCCCTGTCAGATGTTCTCTGCAGAAGATGTGCCTGCTGCTCCACCATCACCACCAAAGGCAAATTGCATTGTTTGCTCGAGTGGTGTGTGTGTATGAGCGTGTTTGTGTTTCTGTGCCGAATTGATGCGGGACCTTCTGACCAATTCTTACAGTGAATTTGATTCTGTCCTTTGTTAAGCGGGTCAACTTGCTGCTGCCTACTGAGCGGTAAACATTTGTCACTGAAGGCCAATTGAGGATGGTAAGGTCATTATTGGCCGCTTTCACCATTATGACATCTGCCCATTTATTTGCTAGTCATAAACATTTATTTATTTGGACCAATATAACATTATATATGGGGGATGGGGGTGAAAAGGGCTTTTCAAGTAAGGTCGCCGACGTAGCTGTCGTCATCGCAGTCATTGATGATGCCAATCTTCTTGCCGAACAGGCGAATCTTGTGAATCACCTCCTCCTGCATTAGGTTGAAGCACATTGCCAGCAGAGCCATACCTGTAGGGCAAACCAGTTTATGTGCATTTCTCTCTTAATATCACCCACAACAAAACTACCTGCGAGAAGGTAGAGACTACAGATGACCAACTTTTCCTGCGATCCCGAGTTGCCGACAACAGACGCTCCGGGAACGAGATCACCGAATCCAATGGTACCTGGCGCATGGAAATGAGTCTGTTAGCCAGTCAGCCTACTGGACGAATGGAGTGCGCCTACTGAGTGTGACAAAGCAAAAGTACGATCCATCGAGGTAGTTCCAGTCCTCCCAGATGGCGAACAGCGCTCCACCTCCGCAGACGTAGCTGGCCAGTATCATCAGACAGAGGGTGATGGGGACGTGTACTCGATTGGCCTTGCCTTTGCTGCTCAGCTCAAAGCTCATCTCGATGCTGTCTGCATTTCGTGACACCTGGTCACTGGTGTTGGTACTATATACACAGGAAGGAAGTGCTCAATTAGCCAGTGCAGATTAGAGAAAGAGAGAGTGCTGGCAGACTGAATGACAGCTTTAGTGCCGTACATTGTGCCCGATACCGAGGAGATGTTTCGCTGGACGAGATAGCGATTGCGATTTCGCCTATCTTTGCCTGGGTCCTGTTTGCAGGTGCACAGACCACCGTAGACGTAGCGGAATGACTTGGCGAGAATGTCACCTGCAGAAGAGCAGAAGAGAGTGCAAAGGAAGGGAGAGGATTAGGCAAGAAAAAGGCGAGAAGTGCCTGCTGCCGCATCCTCCATCGCTAATGAGCGAGGCTGATGGCGGTGATCATTGGTACCTATGTTTGTTAGGTAGAGCAGCATTAGGGGAATTCCTGTGGGAGATTAAAAAGAGATGGTAAAGTAGTAGTGTTGTAGTAGTATTAGTGCTTCAGTGTTTCTACTTCAAACTAGGGCAGCAAATTGGTGATTACCAATGATGGCGTAGATAATGCACAGCACTTTGCCCTTTTCAGTGCGAGGGCTGAGATTGCCGTAGCCAATGGTGGAGATGACCGTCAGGCTGAAGAGAAAGGCGCCCGAGAAGGACCACTGCTCCTGGCCCTCGCTGTGGTGGCCCTCGTAACCGTCCTTGATTGCCTTCAGCAGCTCTCGCTGGAAGCCCTTAATCTCCTCGGAGGCTGATACCTTCCACTTATCAAAGAAAAGCACATTGTTGTTGTACGCTGGTGGGGTTGTGTGTGGTGTGTGTGTGATGGAAAAAGGGTACAAACTGAGAACATTTCGGAGCAAAGCGGATGAGTGCCCACTTACTGATGTTCCACAGATTGCCAATGGTTCGATTGCGCAGCTCGTTGACCAGCTTGGCGGTGCGCACCTCAAAGGGAGCCTCAACAGCGCGGAATACGAAGGCGCCTCCAATAGAATAGGCGACCACGGCCAGACACAAGCCCACATTCGAGACGAGAAAGGCGAAGAACTTGCGAAAGCAGACCCGACATTTAGAGGCAGGTGGCTTCCGGTGGGTGGCGGCGTCGTACGGGGCCAGAGTGATCGGAAGAGGAGGTGGTGGTGGAGGTGGAGGTGGTGCTGGTGATGCTGGTGGCGGCGGTGGCGGCGGTGGTGCAAAGGAGTGAACTCTGTGCAGCTTTCCTGGCGCACGATTGTTCTCAGGCGCTGCCATTGAATTTGCTGGCAGTGGTGGCAGCGGTGTTGTTGCTGTTGGCGGTAAGGAGCCATCAGTTGTACCGATTCCGTACTAGCAAACTGCTCGTGAAGACGCCACTAATCGGCCGCAGAGTCGTGAGGAGACAGCACAAACTGGCATCGTCTTCTTCTTCTTCTTCTTCCTCTTTCGCTTCTTTTTATTCTTCTGTTTAGATGTTCTTCCACGGCAGCAGTACTGTACTGCTGTTGACGCTGCTGGCGAACAGCCAAGGGCGCTACTGCATCAGGACAAGCACTGCCAGCTAACGAATGGAGGCAAGACAAGCAAAGCAGTGCAACGACAGCCAATTGAAATCAACTTTCTGTCGAATCTAGATGTCGAGTAAATATTTGAGTTCAGTCGGCCAACACGGTCGGCAATTGACGAAGAAGAAGAAGAAGAAGAGGCTCAGTGAGTGAGGGACAGGAGCGGCAAGAATAATCATCAACATCGACGAACACTGAGTGCTGGCACTGTACCCGAAATGCACTCCATTCGCTGGCTGTTCGGCGGCATTGCAATCACTGGGAATCGGTAAATGGCCTTCCAATGGTATTGCTTCACACTTACACCCTATCAAATGGAGCAGTCCCATGGCGCACTTGCCATTCTGCTCAGCATGTCTCATCCACTGCCAACTCTACGATCGCTGCGATCCTCCCTCTCCTATTCTCTTTCTGCTTCCTCATCAATTGATTAGTCCTTTTGTTGCTGTTTGTTAGTTCAACATTTTTCAGTCTTTACTCGTAGTAGCAGTATTTTTTATTTGTTCTTATATTTGTCTTTGTATAATTCAATCAGAAATGCAACACACAAGTTCAGACACTGAAGACAGAGAAAGAGTGGGGCAGAGAAGTAAAGAAAAGGGGGTGCCTCGGTATAGACTCGGCACACTGTGTGGAGAGGAAATTGACGATGAAATAGAAATGGAAATAGAAAGAAAAAGAAAGAAGACAGTCAACGGTGGACTGCATTTGGTGCGTACAATGGACTGGTCCACTGATGATCGCTAGTACAAAAATAGAAAAGAAGAAGAAAAACCGCAACGACGAAACGATGCTCGGTGTTTGTGTGTATGCAGCCTGTGTGTGCGTTTGTGTGTGCTTTGGCCCAATTGAGAAGCCGGTGATGGTAATGGTGATGGTGGCGGTGGTGGTGGTCATCCAGCTAGCCAACCAACCACCCAGCCAGCCTGTATGTATGTACAGATGTGTATGTAGAGAAAGAGAAAGGAAAAGAAAGAAATGTGGCAACGATGATTTATAATATCACAGGGATTTGTGTGTACCGAGTTGGCTGCCAGTGGCGGCCAGTGGCCAACGGTTAGCTGCTGGTAGTAACTGTACTGCTGCTCCTGCTGGCACTGGTGCTGTTCGCTGGGCGACATACACACACACAAAGTAGCTGACGGTGGTCTTCCTCTTGCTCTGGTCGCTGGCGTTTGCTTACGCTGCCAATTCGCCATGTGTGCCCGTGTTTGAATCAGTGTCCATTGGGCAATTAGACAGCCAGCAAAACTGCGCCAAGTGCGAGGAACAACGGCACGACAGCAGCAGCGGCAGCAGCATCAACAACACCGAAGATGATGAAGGGTAGGACAGAGGGGGTAGGAAGAGAAAGATAACAACAACGATCACAACAACAACAGCAACAGCAGCAACAACAGCAAGAAGAAGAAGAAGAAGAACCCGTTTAGTTGTGCCTAGCCCCTAAGTATAAGCTGATAGTAGTAGTGGGCCATATCTCCTCTTCGTCCCCTCCAGCAGCTCCTCTAATGGGCACTCTCTTCCTTTGCCCCCGTTTCAGCCTGCTGTCTGTTCTCTCCTTTTAGACATCGATGTCTTCGGCACAGTTGATGAATTTGTTGGTAACGATCTTAATGTCGCGGCCGTTTCCGCTGTGGTTCGCCTGTCTTCGCAGCTGAAAGCGGGTGCCAATATTCTGGAACTTGAAGGCCAATTGCTCGTAAACTAAGAGCGTCAATGAGTGAGGCAGAAAAAGAGAGAGAAGAAACAAAATGAAAAGTGTTGTCGATTAGTGTGAGAAGAAAAACAGACTGACGGACTGAGCGCGAGAAAGTGATTGCCCCAGTGGTGGCCATCCTATTACTACCACTGAGAAAGTGTGTACCCACGTACTTATGTTGAAGCTCATCGCAATCAGTGTCATGCCACCGAGAATGTAGAGCACGATGAGAATGATGCGCTTTTTCGACTCCGTCTGGTTCGCCGAGAGCGTCTTCTCGGGGACGATATCACCGAAGCCGATAGTGCTAAACGAGTGTGGATGCAAATGCGAAAAATGGACGGGAAAAAGAGGGAGAAAGAAAAAAGAGGAAACGTCAGTTGGGTTGAGCTACTACAGTTGGGCTTGATTTTTAGGCTACTTTGCAGCAGCAGCATTGTAGCCATTCGCTGCCTTTTACTCCGCCGAGTGCCCACTAAAGGCTCAGACGGGCGATGGGGAGCTGGTGGGAGCGTGAGAGGGAGAAAAGAAAAGAGGGAGAGGAGGAAGCGGGAGCGACGGTCATCTGGCCGTCTCATCGATCACTCACCTAAGTGTAACGAAGCAAAAATAAGCACCATCCAAGATGGACCACCCTTCCCAGATGTAGAACATTAAGGCGCCGCAGAGCATATAGAGGACGATGAGGAGGAAGCAAAAGTAGAAGGGCACCGTCTCGCAGCTGCCCTCCATCTCAAAGCCCCCAGAGACCGAGTTGGAGGAGTTGGCGCAGTTGTGGTGTAAAGTGTGGTGCGAAGAGGCGGCAGCAGCAGCAGAGGATGAAGCTCCCAGAAGCTTAGCCGGATCGTCGCGAAAAAAGCTCTCCAGGCCGCCGCCGCCGCCGCCTGCAGTGAGATAGGTTGACCTGGAGCAGTGCTGGTGCTGGCCACCCACACCGACACCAACACCAACTCCTCCCCCTGCGAGACTGCTGTCCAGCTGCGAGCAGAGGTGCTCCACTGGGTCGACGACTGCGCCCGCACAAAGCTTCGTCTCCGCCTCCAGTTCGGCAAAGTCCGTTTCGTAGGAGCACCGAGGGTGATAGGAAGTGTTGAGCACGGGCACAGTGGTCGCCTTTCCCGGGTAGGTGGCAGAACTGTGGCCGTTGGGATCACAGGCCAGCAGGTGGTGGGCGGCGGTGTGCCCGCCCAGACCACCGTTCAGATTGCTCAGTGGAATGTGGTGCACCTGGTAGTCCTCGTGCAGGTGGTGATGGTGGTGGTGGTGGCCGCCCTGCTCGTGCTCGTGACCGTGCACGTTTACCAGCGACCGGTGTGAGTCACTGGTGCAGCCACAGCAGAAGCTGTACAGCGACTTGAAGAGCTCACCCAACAAGCCACCCATGCGAGACATCAGAAAGAGGAAGATGGGAATGCCCACCAGAGCGTAGAGAATGGTGGCGATCTTCCCCTCAGAGGTAGACGGACGGTTTGCGTAACCTGAGGTGTTTTGTCAAGGTTTAAGGGCTGCTTTAGAGATGTTTATACACTAATGATGCTTACCAATGGTGGTGATAATAGAGATGCTGTACATCCAGGAGTCGGTGAAGGACCACCTCGAGTGGACCTTGTTCTCCTCACCTGGCGCGTAGCCATCCTTGAGCGCCTTGACAAGCTCTTTTTGGAAGTGCTCAATCTCCTTGATGGCCATTGCTGTCCAATTCTCCTTGTAGAGAACATTGAGCTTGTAGGTCTCCGTCCACAGCTTATTTACCGTACTATTGCGTATGTCGGCAATGTGCACCATGGAATGGGAGACGGTAGACTCTGCCAAGCAGAAGAACGGAATTGGGCAATTAGGCACCGCAAAGAACAGATAAAATACAAATAAGGAGTGAATGGGGTAGAATGGCGAGGAAAGGGAGATTTTGTGGCAGATGGCAAAGAAAAGAATGGAAAGAAAAGGAACTGCCTTTCTGGCTTGGCAAACTACTTTGTTCCTCATCAGTGGGCATCATGAGCAATTAAAAGCAAGACTGTGTCGCTGGAAGATGGCGATTGTCCTAAATGGCTCTTTTCTTTCGCTCTTTTACTCTTCTTCCTTGCAAATCGCCTAGCAATGGTTTCATTGCACAACCGCACACATACACAGACAGGCAGGCAGGCAGAAAGGCACAGAACTAAGACGCAGACTAGACACTAGTGAAACAGTGGAAAAATGCGCAAATTCAGAGAGACAGTTCATCAGCAATTCATAATGGCGCCCCATCAACGGCACAATCGCCGCTGCCGTTGCCGTTGCTGTCGTCGTTGTTGGGAAGACAGGCAGAGAAGGCGTCATCATCATAGGCAATGGCGGTGGCTGTCATTAAGATTAAAATTAGTTGCCTTCACTGGTGTGCTTGGTAATTGAATTCGAGCTGGCAGATGCAGAAGCTTCTGTTTCGGCAACACCAACAGAAGCAGAAGTCAACTAGCCCACAGCCAGTTGCTGGTGCTGATGCAGCTGAGAGTTGCTGCAATGAGCAGGCAAAGAAGAATGGCAAATGGAGACGATAGACTGCCACCGACAATGGCACCATACCCACACACACAAACACACAAACTACAGAGAGCAACCCATAAGGAGAAGAAAAAGGCACGAACAAATGGAGGGTGACAGTGAAAAGAAACAGCCGATAAGGGCAATGGAGAAATAATTAGGACCATTGAGGGAGTGAGAGAATAGGGAGAAAGAAAGGGGAGATGGAATGGGAGCCAAGAGATGGCCAAAGATGGAACGCACAGCCAGACACTGAAGCAGAGGCATCTTTTCATGAGGGTAAGAGAGAATAGTCGGCAAGATGCTGCAGCAATTCACAGTGCTCCTAATGTCCCTTCGCCGGTCGAGGCCAGCCGGTGGTGATGGTGGTGGTGCTGGTGGTGATGATGCTGTCGACGACGACCAGTGACAGGCGCTAGTCAAGACGATACTCACACAAACACACACACACACACTCACAGAACGGAGCAAAGCAAAGTGAAAAACGGGGGAACCTTGCGTTACTGTGCAACAATAAAGGAAGAAAGATTCAGGCAGTGTGTCAGTTCACAAGGGAACAAACACTGCCTCTCAGTTTGTCAGTGTCTCTTTTCTCTTTGCTCTCCCTCTTTTATTCTTTCATTCTTACAGTGTGTGTTTGTTTGCCAGAACAGCAAACTACTGCGCCCAAGTGGCAGATGAGACTGAAAGGAAGAAGCCTCCTCAAGTGAGTGCAGCAATGTAGTGCAGAGCAGTGAGATGCTGATGCTGATGCTGATGCTACTGCTGTTGCTGGTTCTGGTGCTGGTGCTTTTGAAGACTGCTGGGCAGAGTGACGGACAAACGAGCAAAGGACCAACAGTGGTAGCCGTCACTTGCTTGCAAACTTGCTGCTCTACAGCAGTTGCTCCAATCAGGCCGTACAGAATCAGTTGAATCAGAACAAGTTGACAGTTTCCGCCTCGCCTTCAGACAAGCAGACAAACAGACCGACAGACAGCAAGTTGTCTTCGCCTGTTAGTTTCGAGGGCCGGCGAATTTGTCAAAATTTAATTTAAAATTAATGTCTCCATTTGTCAGTGATATAAATGAAGTGAGTTGCCAGCTCGTCTCTCGCTCTCATTCTCGATTGTAATACTAAATCAATGATTAATAAGGCCGTCTAATTCAATTACTGTCTTTCGCCGCCTGTCGCTTGATAGTTGCTGGCCTGCTGCAATTGCTGCTGCTGTTGCTGCTACTTCTTCAAACTGCCTCTGTCCGATATGCCTTATTTATTTATTCTATTATGCCACTCTCTTGGCGGGTGGGCGCCTAAATTTAATCGAATTTAATTTAATTTTTACAATAAACAAAAGCAAAATGAGAGGGGAGGGTCAGGAAAGTGCTCTATCGCCACTACTACAACTGCAACTACAAATGCACTTCGGCCACTACTAATAAGCCAAATAATAATAATAGGAAAGACAAACCTTCAAAGTGCTTGAAGATGAATGCTCCGAGGACGGTGTAGACGAGCACCAGAAAGCCCAGGCCGACGTGAGAGAAGACGAAGGCGGCGAACCTCAAGCAGAAGCGAAACTTGCCGCCCACTTTGCCGCCTCCGCTCGGCGAGGCCTTCTTCTTGTGGTTGTTGTTGCTGCTGCCGTGGTGCAGGCCAGTGCCGGCCAGTGAATCGAAGAGTTTCGAGTCGGCCTGTAGAACACGACTGTGGTCGTTGCTGTAGGACATGGCTGGCCAGGGGAGACAGCGAGGCAGATCGATTGGCCCGAAAAGCTGCCGCTGGTGAGAGCTGCGCGCTGTTCGGGCCCAAGTGCTCACTGCTGAGTGCTGCTAAAGTGGGTGGAGAGGGCTGAGGTGTGAGAATGATGGAGAGCGGTGTCACAGCGGCTCACTGCTGCCACTGCTCGCCGAGCATCATTGTTCCTCGTTCTATTATTTCTGATATGATCCATTCGCTGGAAGGGAAGACTGTGCTGGCCAGAGCCAGAGAGCAGTTCACTGCTGATGTTGATGGTGGTGCTGGTGG